CAAAAACTTACACAAGGACCAATGGAACAGAATAGAGACCCCAGAAATGTACCCCAAAACATACAGCCAACTAATCTTTGACAGATGGTACCAGACAATTCAGTGGAAAAAGGGAAACCTCTTTAGAAAATGGTGCTGAAAAACCTGGGTATCCACCTGTAGAAAGATGAATCTGAACCACTATCTGTCACCGTTAACAAAAATCAACTCAAAGTGGATCAAAGATCTAGGCATAAGACTTCAAACTATAAAACTACTAGTGGAAAACACTGAGGAAACTCTGGGAGACATTGGCAAAGACTTCTTAAGCAAGATCCCCAAAGCATAGGCAATAATCCCCAAAATAGACAGGTGGGATTACATCAGATTAAGAAGTTTCTGCACAGCAAGGGACATAGTAATTACTGTGAATCAACAACCCTCAGAATGGGAGAAAAATTTGTTAACTGTGCCTCAGATATGAGACTGATAACCAGAATACACAGGGAACTCAAGTGGGACCTGGAGAAAAATGATTAACCCAATTAAAAGATGGAAAAATGAACTGAATAAACAATTCTCTAAGGAAGACATACAGATAGCCAAAAAGCATATGAAAAAAATGCTCAACATCCCTCATCATAAGGGAGATGCAGATCAAAGACACAATAAGATACCACCTAATCCCATTCAGAATGGCAAATATTAAAAAAAAAAAAAAAAGATACATGCTGGCAGGGATGTGGTGAAAGAGGAACTCTCCTATATTGTTGGTGGGAATGTAAATTGGTCCAGCCACTGTGGAGAACAATATGGAGGTTCCTCAAAGACCTTCAAATAGAACTACCATATGATCCAGCAATTCCATTTCTAGATATCTACTCAAAGGACAATCAGAAAAGCACTTGCACAACTATATTTATTGTGGCATTCTTCAAAATTGCTAAGACATGGAACCAATCCATATGTCCACAAAGAGATAAATGGATTGAAAAAGTTTGGCACATATACTCCATGGAATACTATTCAGCCATAATACAAAAGTCCCTGACATTTGATAGAAAGTGGACGAACATGGAAGATATATTGCTGAGTGAAGCAAGTCAGGCTATGACAGTGATGCTGGAGAAATAAGACATTGGTGGCGCACAGATATGGTTTGTTGCCTGTTGATGATGTTGTGTATAGTACTCTCATCTCGCGTGGTGTATGACATATATCTATCTCTATGATGCATAGAGATTGAATGTATAACTAGTAAAAAATGGAGAAGATATTGTGAGAAACAGATATGGTTTGTTGTCTGTTGATGATGTCATGTATAGTATTCTTAACTCACCTGTGTGGCATATATCATATTTGGTAAAATCTCTTTACAAACGAAATGAAATGTATAAGTAATAGTAATAATAAATAATTTTTAAAAAAAGAAATTAAATTTTTAAAAAACTATATGGGAAGTATGTGTTATAGAAAAGCTATATGAGAGTTTCATATTCTTTTTTGGAACCAAAATAAACTTGTACTTTAATTCCAAAATATAATATTTAGAATAATAAAGTGTGACATATATACTCCATGGAATACTATTCAGCCATGGAATACTACTCAGCCATAAAAAATAACAGGACCCTGGAATTTGATAGAAAATGGTCAGATTTGGAGGATCTATTGCTGAGTGAAGTAAGCCAGGCTATGAAACAGAGACATTGTATGTCTCCACTTAATATATACCAACTGTCTACACTCTGTGGTAGAGACTGAAAGTCTGGAGGACATAAAGGCATTAAAAATTGTTATGGACAATAAAGACATAGTGGAAGAAAAGAGTAGGAGGAGAAGAGGGTAGGAAAAGAAATTTAGGGGAAAAATAGAGGTAAGATATTTGTGTGATGCAGATATAGTTTATTATCTGTTGATTAGGATGTGTATAGTATTCTCAAGTGGGCTGGACTGAGGTGTATATCATTCTGGGAAAGTCTCTTTAAAATCTAAATTATATATATTGATTGAATATATAAATAATAATAACAATAAAGAAAAAGTTTTAAATAAAAAAATAAATAAGAAAAAAATAAAAGAGACACCAAGCACCAGGAGATAGGAAAGCCATTCACAATTTGAAAGAATAAATAGACACCATAATAATCAAAAAAACTTTTAAAGATGAAGGCTGTAATGAAGGTAATCAACACCTCCCTCAAAAGTATTATAAGCAGATTAAATCATGCAGAAGACTCAGATTTAGAATCTAGAATCTCAGGTCTAGAAGATAAAACCTCTGACCTAGAAAAAGTCACCAAAATCATTCAGAATATAACAAAAAAAGTAAATAAATGAGGATAATATACAAGAACCACTAGATATCATTAAACACCCAAACAATGAAATAATTGGTATCCCAGAAGGTGAAGAAACAAATATAAGCATTGATAATCTATTCTATGAAATTCTGTAAGAAAACTTTCCAAGCCTAGAGAAACATTTAAACATACAGATCCAAGAAATACAAGGAATCCCAAATAAATCAACCCAAGAAGATCTTCTCCACAGTACATCATAGATTGGCCAAAACTTCAGATAAAGTCAAGATACTAAAATTGGCAAGAGAGAAATGTCAAGTTACTTACAAAGATTATCTCATCAAGCTAACATTGGAACTCTCATCAGAAACAATGAAAGCAAGGAAAGAATGGGAAGATATATTCAAAATATTAAATAGAAAACAATTTCAACCAAGATTATTATACCCAGGAAGATTATCCTTTGTATGAGATGAAAAGATAAAATTCTCAGATAAACAAAATTTGAAAGAATCTACCAACACAAGACTAGCTCTTCAAGAAGTTCCAAAGGGAGTCTATACCAGGAAAACTAAAAAGAGACAGATAGAAATAAGAGAACAAAAAACAACCAAGAAAATGTTAAACTTAATGGTAGGGACAAGTCCAGAAATATAAATAATAATCTTGAATGAGAATAAATTAAATTCTCCAATCAAGAGACAAAGACTGGCGGGACCAGCAGTTAGCGTAATGGCTATGTCGTTGGACTCCCATGTAGTCGACGCGGTTCGCGTCCTGGACTCGGTGGCTTAAAACTCACGCCGGGCACGTGTACATGCATGCCCAAGATCCCGAGAGGAGAATGGAGGAGAAGGGATTGCAGCATGGCCATCCCCCCTGGGGGGGGGGTGATTTCTCGCTTTCTATCTCTCTGTCTCTCTCTGTCTTTCTGGCGAGCAC